TTACCTGGATGCTGCTGGCCTTTCTTTTTCTCTTTCTCCCATGCACTTCCTTCCTGTGCTCCTTTTCTACTTTTGCAGTTAATGGACTAATTATCTCCAGCCCAGGCTGATCTAGTAATTAGCCACTCTTTCCCTCAATCAGGCCCTCTCTGGGGAAGCTAATTGGATTTACAGTGACCAGAGTGCTGGTTCTCAGCATGGTCACAATCCTGAAAAGATTTGCTATGAAATTCTAAAAAAGAAAATGCTAGAAGGTTTTAGGTGCATTGGATTTAAATAGAAAGGACCATATATGCACATAAGAATCACAAAATCATATAAAGATGGAAAACACCTACTGGATCATCCAATCCAATCCCTCTTCAAAAACAAAGTCATTCCCTACAGTATATGCAGGGGAACAATGTCTCTTACTGCCACAAAATCTGCCCCCACACTAGCCCCGCCACCCCTGCAAAAAAACACCCTAAAAATAGCAAAGTCTACCACATACAGCAGGGATTGAGCCCATGCAGGTGATTTTACACTGCTGAGGAGTAGGCAGAGCTCATTCAGATATGAGGCTCATGACTCACCAAAAACAGTCCAATAGTCCTTGTTCTATCTATTCCACTAGGATCCCAAGGATATTGCAGCCTTGGAGTTCCATAAACACCTACAGAATACCTGGGAAAGGCAGTTGAGGAGTGTAACTGGAGTTGGGTCCCAAAGGGTTAGTGGGAGATTGTGGGCCCCATCTCTCTCCCTTGGCTGCTGAGAATTATCTTTTTCCTGATGGATTATCCTTTCCCAGGTTCCAGATCCATTTTGCTGTTGTATCTGGGCAATATGGTCCAGGCAGTCTCTATAGCTGTCAATATGCCAGGGAGGAACCCATCCCTTATCTAGAGCCCAATATCTCCGCTACATTATACAGTTTTGCCACAAAATTAGAAAAATTAAACATTCTCTGACAAAAGGTAGAGAAAGAGCTCACAAAGGAACAGTTATACTATGAGTATACTTAAACCAAACAAGGATAAAATTATGGCACCATTGAAGTTGATAGCAAAGCTTACATTGACTTCAAGGGAGGTAGGATGTCACCCAAGACTCAAATTGTACCCTACTAGTAGAATTAAATAAGTAATAACAATAACTAGCACTTGTCATCACTTTATATGCTTTAAAAAGTGTTCAAGATCCATAGCCTCATTTTACAGATAGGGATATAGAGGTGCAGAGAGGTTAAGGGACATCCAAGGCAGATTATAATTATTTAATAGTTATTTTGCAATAACACTCAAGGGCCCCAATCCAGAGTGAAACCCCAGCGTGCTAACTGCTATATACAAGCAAATACACAATCTCTAACCTGGTGATTCTACAGTCTAACAAAACAAGTAATTTACAAAGGTGTGACATTTTGGCTTGTTTTGGCTTGGAATCAGCCCGATGTGCTGCAGTTTGGACAGAATCCAGGGATTTACCCAAACAGTGTATCTGACTTCTTCAGAACATATGCTCAGGAACTGCTCCTCTGCAAAACAATCAAGCAACTGTTCATAATTCCCTGCTTCCTTTCCCTTGGCCCATTTTTTATCCAAATTGCACAATTTACACACACACATTGTCTCTGACTCTTCTTGTCATGCATTTTGAGGGCTCTAAATTTCAATCTATACACTTCAGGAGTAATTTGAGACCTTTGCAATACAGCCTTTTAAAAGTCATCTTATTGCAAAGCCTTATCAACTGGCATTTCATTAAACACATGTAATGCTTTATCCAAAAGCTTACTAATCAATGTTGGTGAGTTCTATAACAGCCTTCCAAAGTGGAGCAATGGGGGTAAAAAGCCTAATTGGCTTCAAGACTGAGCTTGATAAGTTTATGGAGGGGCTGGTGAGACTGCCTACAGTGGCATATAGCTGATTTGTGACTAGTAGCAGCAAATATCTCCAACAGCCAGTGATGGGAAACTAGACAGGGAGGGCTCTGAGTTACTACAGAGAATTCTTTCCTAGGTGTTTAGCTGGCGGGTCTTGTCCTAATGTTCAGGGTCTAACTGACCACCATATGTAGTGTGGGGAAGGAATTTTCCTTTGGGTCAGATTGGCAGAGACCCTGAGGTTTTTCACGCTCCTCTGAAGCATGGGGCATTTATCATTTGCAGGTTTAAATGATAGATTCTCTGTAACTTGAAGTCTTTAAAGCATGATTTGAGGACTTGTAACTCAGCCAGAGGTTAGGGTCTATTACAGGGGCGGTTGAATGAGGTTCTGTGGCCTGCAATGTGCAGGTCAGACTAGATGATTATGATGGTCCCCTCTGGCCTTAAAAAAAAATCTATGACTCTATATCAATAAAAAGAAATAAAGGTAGGAATAGTTACAAGCAAAAAAAAGCGAACACATGCATCTAAAAGTCCAACAATTAATCTAGCAAGATACTGCCTTTGTTCAAGATGTTTTCTTTCACCTTCAGTCTTTCCTCCAGCTTTTTACTGGCTGGCCTGGCCAGGATCCACTACAGAGATCAAATTGCTGGGTTTCTTTATCTCTTTAAATTGAAGGAAGTATAACTTAAGGGTTTACTCCCCCTCTCTTTTTAGTTCAGTGAATCTTTGAAATGTGTCTTTTGAAAGGTACTCACAGATAAAGTTGATTAGTTCATGGTGAGTAGAGGAGCCATGAGATCTGGAAGATAAGTCTCCATGCTGGTTCCTTCCTCACTGGTAGTTATTACTATGCAAATTATCTTTGCCTGCTGCAACCCTCCATACAAGTGAATAGTCCACTGAATTTGGCCCCCGCTTGATTTCAGGTGTCTGCCTTCTTTTTTTTTTTTTTTTTTTAAGGAGTAAACCTGTTTACCAATTCCCCCTGACATGCCTGGTCTAAACACCTTTAGTCACCTATTAGTGAGTCGTCCATAATTTCACACAGAGTATTATTACACATACTTTACAATGATATTATTGACAAGTGTGTTATTGGTTTTCAAATGACACAGCACAAGGCATCTTTTGTACAAAAATCATTGCAGTAGGTGTGAATACAGGGGGTGTAGGGCCACACAAGGATTGGGGGAGGTTACAATACAATTAGATCTACAGACATAAATATTTCTCATATAGATATATACCACTGTAATTTTTTAATAATTATAAATAGATACACAGAATAAATAAGTGCCAGCTAACCTCATTGTCCCCTCAAGCTGTCATTAATCAGTTGAGCTAGAAATATAATCCAGACCTCCCAATTACAAGTTCCAACCCCTGCCTGCTTGACCGCAGTGCTTTGCTCTGAGACATTCAAATTGATGACAATTATAACAGGAATTAAGGACACAATTGGGCTCTAAATACAGATTTTCATGCATTTAAGTTACGTGGTGGGGTAAATTCTCTTTAGGACCTGGAGATCACCAAACATTACCACCATCAAAGTGAAGGGGAAACACACTTAAAATAGGATTCAGGGCTCACAAGTTTTGGTTTTCTCTCACTCTCTCTTCCTCTCTCCTTTTACTTTCAGATAAAGTACATTTCATCTCCAAATACAACTCTCTTAAATTCTTTGGAATTATTTAAACATTAAGTATAATAATCTGAAATTAGCAGACTTGCTTTTCATCACAACAGCATATAGTACATGAATACCAAGAAACTAGTGAACTTTGCCATGTTAAGTAACACTAAAGGGTTTATTTCACCAGAGTTTGAACCTCTGCTATGTAGCCTGCTGCAGTTCTGTATGTCTCCTCTCCCCTTCCAGCACCTCTCCATACTACCACATTCCTCTGAAAAGAAACCTGGTTTTAAACAATTATTTGCTTTTCTGTTTTGATGTCAGGTCCGTGTTTCAACAACTGTTCTCCTCTTTCTGGTTCCCTGTTCTAATGTTTCTTCTTGACAACTCTTTAGTAATGCCTGACATGAGATGCCTGCCTCATGTAAAACACTAAAAATGTTAAATATTCCTGAAAAGTGGGGCAGGGGAGAGATAAGTGGGAAAACTGACAGATCATTTGTTTTTGCTTAAGGAGCAATTCTCCATCACCTTAACGCAAAAGTTACAATAGGAATTTCAATAAAAAGAAAAGTGTCTTCACAGACTAAATGCCCAAGTCAAAACAAGTGACAAAGACTGAATGAAACTTCAAAGGAGGCCAATTTAACACTCAGTTTCATGTAACTAATGCATATACCATACTGTAACATCTTGGAGAGAGAGAGAGAGAGAGTCACAATTGTAAGTCTTAACATGTTCATTTTAAACTTAATTAACTGTTACAAAGTTTTTGAATAATAAACCAACAACCACAGTGCATAAAATAAAAAGGAGGAAAAATAAGTTGATTTAAGAGGAGTAATTGCCAGCAAAGAACACCATTCATATCCGGCAGGAGCCAGGTCTTGTTTTACATCAGGAACTGGGCTTCCAGCTAATGTCCTCTTTCCATCTTAGCAAAGAGAAATGGTAAGCATTTCTAAAATTTCATCCACATTGTGTCAAATATTCAACTCAATACGCTTCTAAACAGATAGTGTTCCATGCAGTTTTAGAAGAACTGAATACACAAATGATTTTTATTGGTGCTAGAGCCATTTGGCTAGGGGCCAGACTCTGCAACCTATACTGTCTTTACTGTATGAATAGTCCACTGACCTAAATGGGTCTACTTGTATGAGTAACAGCAGCAGGCACAGACCTTAATCAAGTCACAGTGGGGCATATTTGATAGTCTGATGCCATTTTTCAAACCAAAGGGAGTAAAAGTACAGATTTATCTCAGACATTTTCTTATTACTAAGATTGTGGCATGAAAAATGGAATGGACAATGCATGACAGAAAAGAGGGAAAACTGGCAAGTGAAAAACCGAAAATAGCAAATGATGCCAAAGTGATTCAAATATAGAAAGATGAAGGGCAAACACTACTTTTCTTAAAATTTATTCTAGCAGTTTTGAGGTTCATCTGCATACCATCATTAAATGTAACTTTTCACTCACCAAGGTAGAGGTATGTGAAGCATCACCTGAGACCTCGGGTGTTCTTGTGATGTTTGGGAGTCTGTGAGGGTTACGAGCTATCGCTTGACACCAGCCCAACATTTTCTCCTTCCACTTATCCCTTCTCAATGTCTGAAATTCTGAAAATAATTTAGATTCCCTGAAACATTGACACTTGAAGTTCATTGCGTGCATGCCTTTTAACAGCACTTTAGACTGTGTCTAAACAAGGTAATAAACATTTTTTACAGAAAAAAAGTGTAGTTGAAATAAACCATGCAGACAGAAAGAGAACTGTATACTTATAATATGTATTACATGCACTAATACTATTTCAGTACCAGAAAATTCCCTTATCTAAAATTAAAAATATCTCTTGCTGAAACATGCCACCTTCTAGGGGAATTATATTATAGCCTAGCTGTGAGAATGGTATTACCCCTATAGCTCACGCATTGCCTGAAACAATCAATAGATATCAAATTTCATCCAGGAGCCCTAAAGGTGTGGAGCAAAGTGAGTACAAATCAACTGGGTGAACGAACACGAACACACACACACACACACACACACACACACACACACACACACACACACTCTCACGACCTAAACAACGTGGCGTCAGACGAGGAGT